TTGTTGTGACCGCCATAACATGATTGTTCCCACCCTTTGGGTTCACTACTGTATCACTTGGTAGAGTACCCTTCGGGCGAGTATTCAATGACTGAGAGATTTGGCCTAATTGCACCTCCAAGTTTCGGATAGAGGTGTTGTGAGAAGCTAACTGTGCATCCGAATCTGCATTCCTCTTCATCATATGCTCGAACATCATTTCAATTCTGCTCATATTATTACCAGAAGAACTAGGACCTTGAGAAGTAAAAGGGGTGGATTGTTCGGTTGTTGGTACATTGGGGGCCTTTGAAAGCCTTTCCCCCGGTTGCCTTAGTTTCCATTGTTGTTCCACCCGCCTTGATTGTTGTTGTTGCCCCAATTGTTGTTATTTCCATTCCAATTGCCTTGGTTGTTGTTTTTATTACCCCAATTGTTGTTTTGGTTGTTGTTGTTCCAATTGCCACCACTTTGTTGTTGATTGCCCCAATTTCCTTGGGGTCGCCATTGCTGGTTTGAAGAGTTGCCTCTATTGCCTTGATAGTTGTTGACATATTGTACCTCTTCACTTTGGTTATCATAACCATCATTTTGACACTCATCATATTCATCAACAAATTGCTCAGAATTTCCTTGATTTTGTTGCCTCCTTTGCCTTCTCTTGTTGACAAGCATCGTTCTATATCGCTCTCAAATCTCATGCAAAGGTTCCGTTGGCTCTTTCTTGAAGGCTAATATTTCATCTCGAAGTACCGCCATATGACTAGGAGAGAAGAATTTGGCAATAAACTTAGCCGCCAACTCATCCCAAGTTGTGATGGAATGCTTGGGGAGTCTCTCGAGCCAGTCTAATGCCTTCCCTCAAAGTGAGAATGGGAAAAGTCTCAATCTCAGCGCATCCTCGGATACATTCGTCAGCTTGCTCCCCCAACATGTATCTACGAACCCCTTGAGATGTTTGTAGGCATTTTGATTTACAGCGCCCGTGAAGTACCCACGCTGCTCAAGTAATCAATATCACATTGGTTATCCGAAAGTTGCCCGCTCGGATTCGGGGTGGGACAATAGCACTTGCGTAGCCCTGGTTCGGTAATACTCTGGGAGCCACTCTTGGAGGAACCGGGGGAGGGTCTGGAATATTGTCATTTGGATTAGCATTGGCATTCCGACCTCTCCGTTGACCTTGAGGTGCAAGAGGCACCTCATCTTGCTCAAGATCATCTACCTCCTCCCCCGCTATCACGTTTCCAAGAGGATCATTAGCGTTGTTTAAAGCCATGTTGGTACCTGAGTAATGACACAAACAAGTAACGAAGAAGGAAAGAAGAACAATACACAAAACTAACCAAACAGATAGCCAAAACCGTTAGCTCCCTGGCAATGGCGCCAAAATGTTGATCGCTGCCAACTCCGCACTACTACAAAGTAGGAAGAGAGGGTCGCAATAGCTTTTACCCGATATGAGGGTCGGGATCGAATTCCTCAGGGAGCTAGGAAGGGAGTTGAGTATCTGTCTAGACTAAAGTCGTGTAATTGTTCCAATGTCACTTCCAATCATCTTTTGATTTTTCTTTAACAAACTAATATTATCAACTACTAATTAGAACTAAATTATGCTAATGAGAAAATTGCTAGAGTTGTATCTAATGGATAGAAAGGCACTAGGGTAGTGACTTTCACCTAGGTGGCTAATTGACGGGTAAATGCTTCTAAGGTTCGATTGACATGATTGGGGAAATATGCTATAACCGTTGCACAATTTTACCCACTCTCACACCTCTCGGTAGAGAGAGTGATTTT